CTTGGGTGCAGTTCTGTCTCTCCTCCTGCAGGAAGCTGTTTGAAAATCCCTTACTGTGTATTTCAGTTCTTCTTTTACAAACCTACATTTTTGAACCCAACAACATCCTTACTGTGTGGAGACTACTTCTTTGGTGGGGATGCAAGGAAAAAGAGATGTGACATCATAGGAGACCATGGTCTCATCCGTGTCCAGTGTCAGGTTTTTTACCCCGTTGGAGAAGTCCTGTGAGTTAGAAATGTGAAATGGTGTGTTGCCAATCAAAGGAGTGAGGATGGGAGCCAGATGTTTGGCAAAGTTGTGACAAAGTTGATATTGCTGATGATGGGCCTCAGTTGGAGCTCCTTCCTTGTGTATTTTTGGGAGCCTGTAGATCCGAGGAATGGCTTCAGTCAGTAGTATTGTTGCCTATCGATGGTTTACTTTGGACCACACTCTCCCAGATAGGACCAATCTGACCACATCTGTTCTCTATTGGACTTTTGCCTCACCACAACATACTTCCAATTCAACCAAGGCTCTCCTGTGTCTGGCATAATGGCAAACTTATACATGGAATAAGTGGAAAGCAGAGTGCTACACTCATACATGGGAACAAAACCCAGTCACTGGTTCAGATACGTGGATGACACATGGGTCAAAATAAAGACCAATGATATCAACACGTTCATAGAAAACATCAACATAGTGGAAAGAAACATTAAGTTCAACGGGGAAGATGTGAAAGCTGAAAGCCTTGCCTTCCTGGACTGCATGGCTGACATCATGGAAGACAGAGAACTCAATATAGAAGTCTACAGGAAACCCACACACACCAACCAGTACCACCATTTTGCCTCATGCTTACTGGAACACAAACTAAGCTTCATCAGAACCCACCAAACACAAGCAGAAACCATTCCCACCACCAACAGAGGGAGGTTGAGAGAACAGGGACACATTAGGAAAGCCCTGAAGAACTGTGGTTATCCCAGTTGGGCTTTTCTAAAAACCAACAAGAAGAGAACTGCTGAAAAGGAAGAGTAGAAGTATTTGATATTAATCAAAATCATTTGAATCATTTACTGAATACTTACAATGCACCACCAGAGCACTTTTCAACCTGCGTGGCTCAGAAAAAGCTGGATGCCACACCAAGCAGTCCAGCTTCTTTCCATTCATACCCCTCACAGGGTGCAGGTAGTAGTTTATGGAGATTTGGCCGCTTTCAGAGGTGCGGTTTACAGACCGACCATTAAGCTCCGTGTCCCAAGAGAGCCGAGGTGGTGGGCGCGCGACGGAGCGACAGGAGGCCACTTGCTTGTAGGGGTCACCCTCCTTTACATCGTGAAGAACCAGGTCAGTGATTGGAGTAGCTGGAAGGAAGGTTTGTTATGTTACTGTAGTTCAGCGGAACTAGGAAGACTCAGATAAGTTCAATAGGGAATTTTACAATTGATCTGCCTCTCATTAAAAGCACATAACACTTGGTTAAAGCGACAGTGTGCAACTTTTAGTCAATAGCGGCGCCAGACCCATTACTTCCAGGTTTAACGCCCATGAAAGCAAGTGACAACATTGAGCTATCGAGAAATGAAACACCTTCCAACATGAGTTTGAGCTTTTTAGCAGACAACGCCGGATCAGCAGACTGAGAAGTCATGGAGTTACAACACCACTATCACCTCCTGAGGTAAAGGTTAGATCAGTTTGGTTGCCTTAGAACAACTTGAACTTAGTCAGCCGTGTTTAAGAGGAGCTTAGACTGTCATATGTCTTAGGCAGGGGCGGAGGTAGAGGGGGTAAAAGGTGGGCACTGGATCCCCCTGAATTCTGATTGCCCAAAGATGTTAGATGATTTACATGTCACAGCAGCAAATCCCTCCTGCACAGCACAAGATGCTATGCATTTACCCTACAAATGCTATATATTGACCTAAAAAAATCCTTTCATAAATCTCAAATTAAGCTAACACTTTGGTCCTATTGCTTTAAGACTGAAATAACTTATTATAATTATTGATGTCAAAAACTTCATTCAGTTAGTTAGCTAACTAAAAACATTATAAAGACACTTTATAAAAACAACACCCTAATTTCATGTACAGGTTTACTTATTGTACATACATTTTGCCCTTTGACCTAAAAAAATAATGTAATAGCTTAATAATGGAGAAGCTATTAGTCATCTTTATATTTCTTTAATATATATATATATATTTTGAGAATGTGTTTATCTAAGAGCAACTATAGAATTAACATACACCTAGAAAAAGTACACTATATTATTTTTTTTTCCATGTGAATCCCAGATTGTTTATTCTTTTTTCCCTTTTCTAAAAAGTGCTTTGAATCCATTCTACCTGTCTTTATCAGTGCTAGGTCAGATCCTGACTTTTGAAAAGGAAGGCAGGTAAAACAAATTAAAGCGAGAGCCTCGCTGCATGGATTTAGCCAAGCTGATTCATTTTGATGTTCAGCTGATCAGGTCCAAATGCTTTCACCTCCAGCTTTTCTTGGTAAGTTTGTTTTAAGTCACTTCTGCGACTCAATCAGCCGCACTACGAGTGTGACGACTGTTCCTGTCAGCTCGGGCGCAGCTTTCCTTCACCCCGAGCTGTCCTATACTTCTGTATTGCAGAGGGGCTACTGCGCTTGTAAAACATTTTACCGGTGTCTATGGCCAAAGATTTTTGCACCCCAGGGCGGAAATACGTCACCAATCTGAATAAAACAGCTGTACTCCTTATTAAAGAGTAAATATTTATCTTGCACATATAAGAAATATATTCATATATTTCAAAATACTTTGATTTTATAATTAACTTTTTTTTCTTTTTATGTCTTAATCAAAGTCATTGGGTGGGTGGGGCTGCACCCCAGCGCCCTCTATTGGCCAGCCATCACTGTTTGATTATTCCTTGAAAAACTAGATTGAAAGGAAGGGTTTGGCTTTGGGAAAATTAAAACTCACCATTTAATTTAGAAAAGAAAATACTACTTTAGATCCTTGCAGAGGATTTATGTAACTTAAGAAAAATTTGAAATTTGGTTAAATTTATTATGTTTCACTTATACTGTGTTCACCTTTACCCACATTACATCAGGAAAATGAGGGATTGACTTACTCCAGACGATGAGAGACATCTCTTTCTCAAAATTCCCTGTTGGGAAGGTACTGATGAGACACATATAATCGCCTTCATCTGAGACCTTGGTGCTTATGATGACCAGAGTCCAGTCCACTGTGGGTTGACTGCTTTTGAAGCGCACACGGCCATCCCATTTCCCGAAAGCTGCGCACAAAGAGGGAGCAATAAGAAAAAAGTAGTCAACAGATTATTAAAGTGATCCCAAAAAAGAAAAATAGTTAGGATTTCCTAGTCACTGTTGGTTTAAGATTACTTGCTGGTCTGTGCATACTTTCCATTTCCTGCCCCTAGATGTATTTCATGTTACCCATGATACAAATTTTGGTTACAAAAACTATCATAATCATCATTTATAAATGGTAAAAAATACCATCTATGTTCGATTAAAAGATGGTTTATTAATGTTTGATTCATGAAGGACCTAAGTCCACTGATGTCAGTGTTTGGGATAAACTAACATGGCAGGGGAATCTATTCACCATTTATAAATGGCTTAGATGTGATTTTGAAATTACTATCAAACATTAATCAACTATATGTTAATAATGAATAAAAGCTCTCTCTACAATTTATAAATACTGATTATGAAAACATGTTCTTGTAAAGTGTTACCCAAATTCTGTCAACAAGCTACATTTTAATGAGTTAAATTACATTTTAATATATATAGAGTCCTTAATAATGAGATACTCTCTAACCAGGTAAGGCTAGCAGATCTTACAAAAACTTATGTCACAATATATTTCTTCATTTTGGTTGATACAGTATGATCTGAATATTGATATAGCAAAATAGAAGCCTCAGAAAGAATGCCAATTTCTATCTTAAAATGTTTATAAAACTCAACAAATATAAAATTTTAGAAGTATTGATCCTTTAAATCAAATAAAACGCATTAAACAACATGATACCCCTGAACCTCTGCCAGTGATAAATACTGTAATAATAGATTGTAATGTTTTTTTAAATTTCACAAGTATCATTTCACCTTTATTGAATAACATTGTATTGTGACAAATATTGATACTTCATTTTTGTCCAGCCATAGAAACAGTATGATTACAATGCTTCAGAAAAACAAAGTTTAGGGTTCGGTACTCCTAATTTCATAAACCTATGAGATTATAACCATGTAGTAATACATTGCTGTACTCATGTGAGGAAGTGAACACCAAGCTTTTATAAAAAAGTGCTGATTCAGTTCTCTTTGTTCATTCTGGCATGAGCCTCAGCACTGGTCTCTGTAACCAATCCTCAGCTTCACTGGTTAGTTTCATGTGAGAGTCGTCCCTTTAGAGTAGAGGTCACAGATTAGCGGACCACGGTCCGGATCCGGACCCACCTGCTGGCTAATCCAGACCCAACCTGATTTAAAACATTTATAAAATACCGCTTTTGTCTGAAGAAAGTGTCTAACTTGACTTGTGCCACTTCTCCTGTTAACATGTAGCCTTCCGGAACAGCTTACATGTGATACAAAAAAGCCAATGAGCTGTGTTAGTCCGGGTCACTGCGGCAAGCATTTTTTAGTAACAGCAGGCAAAACTGTGGCAAGCCAGGTGATGGGAGAGAAGGGGAAGACAATGAGAAAAACAGAGAAGAGAAAGTGTGGTGAACTGGTGAACAAATAGGGAAATGATGTGCTAAAAGATGACCCTGCACATGTTGAGTATGTTTAGCTCAACCTGCTGCTGTGAAGACGAATTCTCCACCATGAACAGAATCAAAAATAAATATCGATCCAGGCTCAAGAATGAGCAGCTTGATATGTGCTTGAAAATGGCTTTGTCTCCATTCAAACCCAGGTTTAAAACCTTTATAGGCCATTTTAAAGCCCACTGCTCTCATTAAGCCTGAAAAAAGAAGAAAAAAAAGACAAACGGTCATTTCAGATATTTTATAAAATATGTGAATCAGGAAATTGTCTATATACCAAACTGAACCTATGTTGTTCTCTACTTTGGAAAAACCTTTAGATTTTAAAATGGATGAATGTTCTGGATGCATGGATGGATGCATAGAAACCTCATTTTATTCAGTGTTAAATTCTGTCATTGATTTTCTTTATCCGGACCCTGCTGATGTTTAACTGGTTTCCCCTGCTTTAGAAGATGTGGATGTGGAAAGGCAGCAGCCTTTCTTTTATCAATGAACCCCGGGGCAGTGGTGGCTACAGTTTAGCTTGCCACCATCAGTGTGTGTGCATGAATGGGTGAATGACTAAATGTAATGTAATGCGCTTGACTTAAAAAAGTCTCTTGACTTAAAAAAAAAGGTGTTATATAGGTACGACCATTTTCCTTTTAATACATTCCACTAAATATAGCATGTGTTCTTTAAGAAAGAATAACCAATTATGGTTTTTACTGCTGAATAATTACTTACTGTGATTTTTTTTAATCCAGACCAAAGGAATTGTGCAAACTAAATGGATTTATTTAAAAACCCTTATCAAGTTCTCAGTCTAGAATTCACACTTTACCTACAAGGATTCTGGCTTTTTTAACTAATTAAAAACTTTATGCGTAATTTGTTTGCTTATTTTAAACAATTAACATTCTCACAGAGACAACATGAGATTTATGGCAAATTGTGAACATCCCTACTTAAATGTATTTGTCCCAGTATTTATTTTATAGACCAAAAGTTTTGATACATTAAATATTTTCGGGGGGTGGGGGGGGTTCCTCCACCTTATTTGAACAAAGATGTTAAAACTATACATGAAAGTAAGATTGCAAGACTATGGAAAGCTATAGAAATAATGTAGGGAAAGAAATGATAAATATTTAAAAGTAGATTTTTGAAACTGTTTGTCAACAAAAAAGGTGAAAAAGATTTAGGTAAAATAACCCACCTGTCTGGCCGTCGGTGCGGTGTGAAGTGATAATTAGCTCCTTGGTCCCATCAGACTTTATCTTGTACCAGGTAACCTCAACTATTATGACTCCGCTCTGGTCATAGCGGCAGGGCAAGACTGTTTCCTTCTCCTCCAAAGACTGTAAGGAAAGCTTGGATGGATCATCATCAGACTCTCCATGTTTTGCCGTCACTGAAACATAAAGATTGATGAAATAATAAGTATTTGCAGGTAACCTATTGCAGCAAGACTTTCAGCTCTTTTTGAGTTTGTTCATAACACTCCTAACACTCGAATAATTATGAAGTTGAAGGAAAAGCATATATAATATTTTCTTTTTACAACATAATGTCTTGAATGTTTTGCAATAATTTAGATTCAGTCTTCTTTATCCTTAGAGTACTAAATAAAAATTCTGTGAAAACAATGTCGTTACATGCTCCAGTCCTGCATGTCCAGCTATGGGTAATTTAATCTCAGAATAAATGCATATAGTAGGCCAAAGAAATGCTCGGCTTATTATTCAAATAACTGACTTTTGACATTTGAGCATGTTATCACCAGTTTTAGTTATACAGTATCATTCCATCAGATTGAGTTATCTCCACATTTAGCAAGTTTGGTGAAAGATAAACTCCTGAAGGACTGGTTGATTCCTCCCTTCTTTTAAAGAATAGTTTTGACGTACAACTGGAGGGAAACCAAATCCTTTCAAAAGAGGCAACCCCATACATGAGCTAAGGCTGCTTGACTCTTGGTAAAAACACTCACTGTGTGTCTGACCTCCTCCTTTCCCGATATACAAAACAATCAGCAGAGCTTATCAGTGCAGGCATCCTTTGCTTTCCAGGTGTATTCTTTCTGTTAATCTAAGATTACCCTTTTTTTGGACCAAATTGGCTTATTTTCTTATCTTTTAGACAAAGCCTTTGTATAGACATTAATGTCAGTCTGAGCATGCATATTGACAGAGAATTCTAGCCAAACTAAAGGCCAATCCGGCTTTTAGAGTGCTAACCTGCTCCCCTTCCAGCTGCCAGATGATATAATCCTGTTCTTCACATACATCTGTATGATCACACATAGACTATTATTGCATAACTTGAAAACAGCCCACTCTCAACAGAAGTAGTACATTTTAGCATGTAGATTTACACAATACCGACAATTGTACCGTTTCTTTTTTATTTTGTGTGTGTTTTAACAGTTTCTTTATTTGTGAGGTTATTTAGATACAAAGCCACATTGTTTTTTATATGCTATAGTAAACAAGCTACCAGGGCTGAACAATGTATTCGTCCCTCTAGAATGGCTTTAGACAGTTCCTCTTCTACCTTCTAGTACGTTTTTTATAGCCCATAATATGCAGTATACCACTGATCAGCCGCTTTAGGCCATGTCCTAAACCCTAAGTTTTATTTACCCACTTCATACTTTTTATGTACTTTATTTACAATGTACCTACTTACAAAAAAAAAAAAAAAAGTTTTGAAGTTTTACTTTAAAAACTCAGATTTAATGGGTTTTTAAAAAAAAGTAATAAATTGAAAAGATGAAATTTGTTGTTTTTGGCTTGTTTAATAAGTGAGACATATGGATCAATGCAGCTATTAAAATTCTGTTCAGGCACAATCTGAAACCATGCTATTGGACTGATATCCGCTAATAGCAGCCATTTATTGGGATGATAACACCCAAAGCAGCTCTATGAGAAAGCTCACATCCTTATTCTCCAAACTTGTGGATAGGTTTAGGCTTAGAACATCATCAGTGACCCCTCACATCCCCCCACCCTGGGCTGTTCCTCTCATCATATTTGCACTACCAACATGGCTCATAATCCCTTTTAATAGAACACAACTCAAATTTCTACTACTTTTTGCTCCATATTTAATTATTTGCACTAAACCTTTCCATATCAGTACCTTTTGCACAATAACTTTAAACTGGTTTTTCTTTTCTCCTACTGTTCATTTCACTCTTGTAAGCTGCTTATTCACTGTTGTAAATCTGTTTGCACCAAAATTTAATTTTGAATACACACTGTCTATACAAAATGACAATAAAGTTTGTCTAAGTTTTGGAAGGAGGCTGGACAACCAGTAAGTAAAACCAGTATTCTGATGTTGGGACCCAGGAAAGTTAAAGTCTTGTTTTTTTGGCATCATGTTTCTGCTGGTGTTGGGGTAGTAATGATGTTGGGCGCTGCTTATAAAGGCAGCAGCATCAGCAGCAAAGTGAATTGTTTTCTCTAAGTGTACAGAGCTGTATGGTTCTAAGCCAATACTTTTCAGTTTAGACTGGCTTCTTCCTTTTATGTTTCAATTTGTGCATGCTATCAAACGTTAATTGGTCTTTTAAAAGAAAGTTATGATCTAAGGTAAAACGTCACTGTCAGAACAGATTTATATAGATCCCCCTCATAACGTCACATCCAAGTATTGAAAAGCTTCATCTTACCAAAGATCTGGAGCACAAGGAGACCCAGCAGGAGACTGTAGCGCAGAGAAGTCATCCTCCTCTGGAGTTCCTCCTAACTGTGCAAAACTTGGGAAACTTTCAGCACGGCTGTGAGGCTCATCAGTCCAGGTAAAAGGATCCTAAATTGGAGAGCATGAGGTGCCTTTATGCCTCATGCTGTGTGATCATCCTCAAGAATGTCTTTGTTCTGTGAAAAATCTTGTTCCTGTCCAAAGAGCCGTCCTGAGAGAAGAATATGTCAATCTGCTAGCAGAGAGATTCTACCCAGGAGTGAAGAAAAGCCATCGGTACACCTGTTTGTACACCAATCATACACCTGTTTGTGTTCTGCCTCTCACTCCCGCCCTCTCTCTGCTTCTCACACAGTCAAAAACCTCAAACTTATGACAATCAATTTCCTTTCTTTACTTTCACAGAGGAGAGGCAAGTGAATGAGCATGCCCGAGAAAACCTGTTTAAACCACGTCCCAATGACACAGAGTGAAGATCATAAGAACAAGGCTGAGAACGAAACTGCAGTTACCTCCTCCCTCTGAAGGAAACTAATGACCCCTTAAGTATAAGAGATATAATCCTAAACATAAAGGTCACAATGGGATATAATCTGGGCAAAAGATATAAACTAATCTGACTTCATTAGGCTCCTTTATTCTCACACTAATGGTTCAGTGCTGAAGAAATGTGATCTTCTATTCAGTTTCTGCATAAGTAGGGTAATATTCTTTGGCGTATTTACCTACTCACTCATGGGTATAAATAATCAGCGTACAGGGAGAAAAGACAGCAGCTTCAATGTGGACAATTCAATTCAGTTCATTTAAAAAAAGTTTAGATCTGATTCTTTTCCTCAGAAGCTCAGACAGACAGTTTTTAGGGAGTAAAGATGAACGCGCTGATAGAAGAGGCCCAAACTGAGAAGTTATTTGGATCCACTTAATATTCCACCGTTAAAATTTACTTTTACGTTTTTTGAAAGTTACAGTAAGCTTTCAGCTTTAACTTTCACAGTTTTTATCTGTTAATGTGGGGGGCTTAATGTCTAACTAAAGATTGCTCTATAGTTTTATTTTGTTTTATTTTTTTGTTTAGGGGTTTTTTGTATTTTTTATTCTTTCATTCTGTGCCCCATGAAAATGACCCCTGCCGCACCGCTACTCCACAGAACACAAAGCCCAATTTCTCTTTGGAATTAAAAACTTGTTGAATTGATCACAACAATAAAATTCTACTGTGTATTGTGGAAACAACAAACATTAAAAAATAGACAAGAAAATAAACATGTGCAGAAACATACTTTTCTAACAGCAGTGTAGTGTTTTGACATAGGCGGTTCTGTCAGTGTGCTTACTCAGCACCGTGTGGCAGCAGATCCACATGATCACGAAGAAGCTGTGTTGAGTCTCTCAGGGGAATCATTACCTGAACCTATGTTAGTATGTTAAAGAACCAGAGAGAAACCTTGCTATTCAGTGTTCTTTACTGGAATATTTCCTGAAAATATAAAAGTAGCCAAAATTATTCCACTTTATAAAAAAATGTTACTTTTTTCTAGAAAAAAGACTTGTTTCCTGATTTTTTATTTATGATTTTGTGTTTATAAACACAAAATTATGGTAATCAGTTTAAGTTTGGTGAAATTCTTCAAGTTTGAAGAATCTGCTGGAAAAGGAAAGAGATATTAAGTTGTACATCTATTTTATGATCTATAAAAAATGTAGGAAAATATGTTATTAAATGCATTAAATCACTAGCACATGAATGAGTTTTGAGATATTTAGAGAACAGACAGCAGTTAGTAGAGATTAACAATGTTACCTATGGAGTACCCCAGGGATCAGTCATTGTGCCCCTGAGGTACAATGTGTTTTACTCTGGTAAAAAATCTGTCACATTGGTCAGATGGTTTCAAGGATTTAAGAAGCATAAAAACATGCTTGAATGTAAATTATTTTTGTTAAAAAGCAATTATAAATCATCCAGCAGTAGAGAGATTCCCACCAATAAGTTGATCAGTGCTGATTGTCTTGTGATTTGGTGGACATGAGTAATAAATGGTCTATGTGTTACTCTTGATGAAAATATAGATTTGAAAACATATATCTGTATTTTAAGTCATTTTTTCTAAGAAAATTCCTTAACAGTATAAAGTGAAAGAAAAATGTATTGATGAGGCTGTTTTTGATGTTACTGGTTGTTCCTTATATGACTAAGCATCAAAAACATTTACTAATTCCATTTTCCTTCTTTTGTTTTGTTCTTTAGTTTTTTTTTCATTTGCATTATTTACAACTTGATCAACCTGTTTACAGCTATATTCATGTTTCACATTTGATATAATAAAATTCCTTAATCTATACAATAAGGTTAACTCTGTTACAAAGTAAATACAATTTACGTTTGCTCCTGCCTGACCTGGTTATGAGCTACTGTTGTTGATGTGATAACTAGAATTAATCTTATCAAATCAATTTCTTCTAGAAACCTCTTTGATATGGGATTTAAATGACAGGTCCTGATCAAAAACACCAAGACTTTGTTATGTGAAATCAGTTTAATCCCATTCAAATGAAGTGACTGGTTAATCTGCTTATTTTTCAGAGACTCTGGTCCAAAGACTATAACTTCTGTTTTGTCTGCGTTCAGAAGGAGAAAGTTAAGAGTCCTCCAGGTTTTTATGTCTTCAAGACATGCCTGTAATTTATGTAATGGGTTAGCTTCATCTGGATTTATAGACAGATATAGCTGGGTATCATCAGCATAACAGTGGAAATTAATCCCATGCTGTCTAATAATTCTACCGATTGGGAGCATGTATAAAGGAAAGAGAATGGGTCCTTGCACTGATCCCTGTGGTACTCCACAGGTAACCTTTGAGCATGATAAGACAGGTGTTTTTAAAAGGTGGGCTTTCCAAATCTTGAAAGTTCCAAGAACATTAAACATTGTTTAGCTTTTGTTTGATCAATAAGCTTTGTTATCTTCGCCATGAGAGATTCTCATACATCTTTTCAGGTTGAATACTAAACACTTATCAGCGTGTTTCTCTCTGTGGAAAAAACCTTTAACCTTCGTTTACAAGTGAAACACACCAGATTAAAAAACAAAGGAGTTTTGAAAAGAATCAGGCCAACTAGTTAGTAATAGTCAGTAATGGTGTATTTCTTGTCATTCATACTGTTGTCTAATGCTCCCCCAAGAGGGGCTGTACCATGAGTAGTTGATTAATACAAACTTTACATAAATCATTTTTAATAAAAGTATCATAACTTTTAATACACGCAGCAGCCATAATGGGTTTTAAAGGCATGAAAATTTTGAATTTTAATTAGATTTTTCTAACTCCGGAGGAGTTAGATTTTTCTTACTCAGAATTTCTAATGTTGTCCTTCCAGTTACTGATGAAATGCATCAACTACAGCAAAATCATTTTATTTGTCATCTTTTTCTTTTGCTCATATTTTAAATTGTCCTTGTAAGCAGGCGACCTCTCGGCTGGATTTTCAGTGAGAAAATGAACTTGTCAGGCCCAGTGAAGTTGAAGTATCAGCAGGTTTATTTAGCATCACAGCATTCCGTCTCCATCAAACACACAATCTCTGGCTTAAATAGACACAGCTGATGGACTAAACCATTTACAAGAAATTAAACTCCTCACTTCCATGTAAAAACACACATTTAAATCAAATATCTACACACACACACTTAAGGTTATTTTTTTATATAAACATTTTATGATTTAACTTACACCCAAACACTATAGAAATCCCACAAACTATGTGCACAACTCCCCCTATATTTTCCATGGTCTCTCCCACAACCTATAAATGGTGTCTGGACCCCCATTGTCAAAAACCCTGGAGAGGACGCAGAAAAGACAGTTATGTCACTTTCTCAGCACCACTACACTTCTTTTGCACTCACTTCTAACAGACTTTACGCTAACATTTGCTGAAGTTTCTAAACAGTAACCCTTGCTTGCTCTAAACATCAATTCTCTTTTCCACAGAAAAACCACCCCAATTGTTAATGGTGAGTAGCTTTGGAGAGCCTGGAACAAAAGGCTACATGCTAACTATTAAAATAAAAAATATTTTAAAAACCTTTTGTGCAAACTGTTTATGTGCAAATCTATGCTTAAAGTGCAGTGCTAAATAAAGTGTCCTAGTACTAAGCAAGCTCATTTTTATTAAAGTGCAAAGGCCCCTTTAAAGTGCTACAAGCTATTTCCATAAAAAGCTATTTTCATAAAAAATAGTCCCAGTAATGAAGACCTCTTCATTACAGTCCTTTTTATATGTTTTTAATTCAAACAACCGAATTTAAATTGACATCCACTTTTTTGTTATTGTAAAAATTCCCTAGCAGGAAATTAAAAATTAAATTGAACTTTATTGATCTCACAATGGAGGATTTTACTCTCTGCATTTAACCCATCCCCTTTGGGGAGCAGTGGGCTGCCACTGTGCAGCTCCAGGAGAGCAATCGGGTGTTAAGGGTCTTGCTCAGAGATCCAGAGTGGCAGTCTGTGGCCGTTGGTTTCCAACTCACAACCAAAGGATTACCCTATGCATTAACCATTTGGCTGCCACTCCCCAAACTAGGCCACCACCAGTATATTGAGAAACTTTCAGTTAAGATTTGAAGATGAAATATTTTTGATTTGGGAAAAAGAATGAGATAGAGCCGCCTTAAGTGAAGGCCATATTTCTAAAATTGTTTAATTTAAATATGCATACAAAACAAATATATCACATATAAGTAACAACTTTAGACAGGAGAAGGAGATGCGATCACTGCATTCCAGTGGTGTTAGGGAAATACTGCTCAATAATGGTGATGCTGAAGGATGTTAGATTTTTCTCCTCCAATAGCCTTTCCTATGGGCCATCTCACTCCTAAATTATCTTGTGCAAAAATTAAAACCATGAGAGCAAAAGTTAGAACAAAAAGGGAACAAAGCCTGTCAAAGTTATATAAAAATATAAGAATGAAGCTTTTCATCAGGTGTTAGATAGCATGTTTAGCTCAAAAAAT